GAGAGGGGTTGAGTAAGAAATTAAACAAGCTGATCTCCTGCCAAAAGTTAGCTTCTCTGTTGAGATGTGAGGGTTATAAAATCCCTTAGTATTACAAGAAACAGAACTCAATGGAGTCAATTGTGACTTCTTAATTTAATGTATAGATTTATCATCAACAGAGCATAACAAAATAATGGGCTAAAAAGCGAAAGCTAACGGACATTTTTAAATGTCTCCATTATTTGCTACCTTTGAGTGAGCATCCGAATGATTTGGCTTTGTTATTAAAAAAAAGTCAATGGGAAATTAATTTCCAAGTCATGTGCATGAATATTGATGAAAAACATAAATTCAGTTCAATACAGATGATTATTACTGCTGTAATTGGGACCATTAGGAGCTGAAACTGTCACTTTATGTAGCTGGTAATAAATAAACAACTGAACATTAAGTGTGAATGTGAGAGTAATGCCTGAAATTCACTTCTGTGATGGCCAAGCAGTGCTTTGCTCCTGCACCCACCCAAAATTGCCCATGTTTGGGGTGTAGATGAGAAGTGTCCACAGGCTTGGCAGCCTGGCCGGTTGCAGTCACTGCTTTTTTGAGGCTTCCCAGATGGGAAGGAGCATGTCCTTCAACTTTGGGATAACATTAGTGGTGAGTGTGTCTGCACAGGTGCTCTCTGTGAGGCTTTGCAGAACATGGAAAGAGCAGGAATGGCCAAGTGTGTGTTGCTGGAATGATGTGTTTGAGAGCTTCATGGCACACTGGTGACCTGGTACAGACTGTCAGACCGAGGTTCCCCCCCTCAGACTTGGAGAAAACATAAGGAGGCATCTGATTTTCCCGGGTGTGCATTGAAACAAGCACTGAAGCGTTTTCCTCATGGAGATGCCTCTGTAAGGCCTCCTGAACAGGTCAGTGTGTATGTGTCCAGAGATGCTCAACACTGAGAAAAGCTGCAGGCTGGCTGCACATCTTAAGCTGCTACTCATTGCCCTCTGTTAGAGTCAGGGAGTGAGTAGATTTTATTAACCAGGAAAGGTTGTGCTGGAAGAACAGTTAAAGCACACAGCCTTTATTTTCTTGCCGCTCATCGGTTTCTGGAGCTATATAAAGTAATACATCTAACAATATACAACAAAGTGCTTTGAAGAGAGTTTATGAAATATAGATCATGGTGGTTTTGCATGGCATGACAAGGAATTACATTTTGTCGTGCTTGTGTTTATGCCGATATACAGCTGGAACATCCCTGCAAATATATATTATTTTGGCACTTAATTTTAAAGAGCTTCTACAACACATAAATGCCTCTTGCTGTTTTAAGAGATGAGCCAGGAAGATGAGTGGGATATGTTTGTGCTCTGTGTTGAGCTCAGGGACAGAGGGACTGGGAATCCTGTGTGACTCCTGCTCAGCTCCCACTTTGAATGTGGTCACTTTAGTGCTTTTTAATTACCTTGGCAAATCAGACCCAGAACAATTATTTGTGCTGTGGAGCGGCTGGAAATTGCCACATGTGGCTCAAAATGGGGCATAAAACTTGTTGACTACCAGTTCACAACCTGCTTTCTGGCCTGTGTCCCTTCCAGGTTTGGCTCCTGTGGCATCTCTGGGCAAGCAGGAGCACCTTTGATTGTCCATGGCAGCAGCATTCCTCCGTCATGGCAGGAGTGCCTTTTTACCCTGTTAGTTGTAATTTGCCTTAAAAAACTTGCCAAAAGCATATGTAATCTCTCTGTCTTAAATGACTTCCTGCAAAGGATGTGATGTTCTCTCCCAGCCCTTCCCCCTGCCAGTGACGAATTATCTTACCTGCTTTTCTTAAATACTTTCATAGTTTCCTCTTTTGTATTTTGAATGTGGCATAGTTATCAGGTGCATCAAAAGTATATGTTGTAAAGCTTATTGTAATAATGGATTATTAATGATCCATGGTTATACCCACACTTACTTTGGGACTTCAGTTTGTTCTGCTGGTCAGGGCTCTCTCCCACTCCGAGTACTGTTTTGGCATCAACTGCTCTGCTGGTTGGGTACTGATGGAAAAAAGCATGCACTTCAGCACCCTGCAGTCGATGTAGGATAATCACTTTTGGTATGTAACTTGATTTGAGGCAATCTGTAACCAAATTTTTTTGTTGTCGTTGAGGGGAGATGACCATTCCAGTCAGCCCAGAGCTGCAAAAGCCAGGCCAGGTCATGCAATGGTTTGGGAGGATTGACCCCAGGCAGTGACTTTCCCTGGTTTCTAAAATTTGGTGGCAGAGCAGGCTGGGAGGAGCTGGGTTGCATAGACTTTTTGCCACGCATCAGGCAGGCAGCAAAGGCCCAGGTGTGAGCCGGCACAATGAGGTGTTCTATGTAACAGAGGACCAGAGGGGACTGCTTTTTTTAAGACAGACATTAAGTGCTTGGAATTACTAGGAGAAAAATTTGAAGGATCAGCATGATTTATTCTAAATTTGCTTTAAAGGTTTTATTTATCCAAAAAGAATTGATTTCCATAGCTGGGAGTAGTTACTGCAGTGGTTTGGTTGTACAAAATTAATCTCAGCTGAAGAAAACTCGTAGTTTCACATCTGGGCTGGCTTCACCCCCGCTGAATCCTCTTGCAAGAGCCAGCCCCAGGTGTTCTGCCTCCTCACAGCAAACAAATGGCTGCATTAGCTTTCAGGAAACGTTTAATGGGTGTGCAACACGCAATACCAGTGTTGCAGTATATAGCTTTATTAGCTGAGCTGCTGGAATTGTTTTCTGAGCTATGCTGATCCTTAGCACCGATTGCAAAATGGAACAGAAATTGTTTATTAGTCCTTGGGAGCCTTAAGACAGAATAATACTTATCTGGTTGGAAACTTGGTCGGTATTGTTGTTATAGATGCTGCTGTGTTTAAAGAAGAAGCAAACAAACCCATTTTGTAGTTGGTAGTGCATTTTCAGATGTCCTAACAGGACCAGGTGTGTGTCTCCCTGAAGGGTGGCCATGCTTGTAGGGCAGGTCTCGAGGTTGTCCTGAATAAAATTGTAAATATGAGCTAGGACAGGGCTTTGTATTTCAAAAAGAAAGATGTGCAGTGGTTAATCCTTCCAGGTATTTCCAGTACAACAAAGCTATGTGAGGTCCCAGTTTGACCATGTCTTTCCATCAAAATGGCTATTAAAAGTATTATAGATAAACTGTTATTTAGATATAGTTTACTCTAATTAGTAAGGTTTTACCAGAAAATATTCAGAATGGGAATGTTTGTGGTTTAAATTAAGCAAATGAGGAGGTAGTTGTTATTTTAGAACCTGAGCAAACCAAGCAGTTTTTTCTTCAATGTAGTATAATGAACGTATGTAAAATATTTCAAGTTTTTAAATTTAGTGAGAACTTTGAAATTTTACTATTACCAGATCATAGAGAGAAATAAAATAATATTGCTGGTTTTACTTTGGTTAGGAGATCAAATGTGTATTTGGAGAAGAAGCCTTTGCAGTGCCTGCTCAGCTTTAGTTTGTGTTTAGCCGCCAGAAACACAGAACCCAAAAACATCTGATCGAGCCTTTGTCCTGTGAATGGTTTGCAATGAAACCAGCCCTTGCTTGCCCTCCCTGGTGGGGAGTTACAGTTCAGCAGGAACAGATTTCTGCTGCCATTTTTAGGGCAGAGGGAGTTTCCTTGGGAGTAAACTTTGAGCAGTTCATGGGTTTCTGCCTGCCTCCAGAAGCCCTTCGCCAAGAGGCTGCTTGAAGCTCGACTTGCCCTGGCACGAGAGCAGATTGCTCTGCAGCAGAGAGACCACAGTGGGAACAGAGATGAGAATTGTTCCCATTTCTATTAAAAAAAAAAAAGGGGAGGGTGTAGTAAGCAAACAGTCAATAATAATAGCACTGCTCCAAAACCTAATTACTTTTGATATTTATAAAAAGGACCTGCATCATTCAGAAGTGCATATTTTCATCAATTTTACTGATTATGCCTCCAGTCATGGAGAGTTTTGTTTGTATTGATCTAATCCAGGAATGGGAATGACTCCAGAAGTGCTATTCTGGTGAGGCTCCTGTTTTGCATAATATAATGCCCATTTCAAAAGTTTTGATGTACTCAGATTAATTTACTCACAGTTAAGAACAACCCACAAGCTGTTGATTAATAGGAAAAGTAAGTGCAAAAAAACCCCAAACTAGCCCAGCCCCACGCTTGACCATTTAGGCAGCGTCACAGACCCAGCAGGCTGAACACTGCGTGAAAAGCTGCTATTCTAAAATGCTACTTCTATATTTCTTTCCCTCATTTATTTGGTCATTGTATGATGTGTGGCAGACTAGTGGACTGAGCTGAGCTGGGATTCTGTGATAACTTTGAACTCAGCTTCAAAATGTAGAACAGAGTAGTATAATATTAAAGGTCATCCTTTGAAAACTGTGTTAAGATGGTATTTCTGTGCTTATCTAACACATCTCTGCTGTACGTTCAGCCTGGGACTGAATGCGTTTGTCGCTATTGTCTTTCTCCTGTTTATTATTTATGGATTGCATAAAGCTGGGAAGAACTGGGGTCTTAAAGAAGGTGATGAGGAAAACAATGTTGGATATAAATCTGGTGAAGTTGCTCTTGGCTTGTCCAACAGACTGTTCAGAATAGGGAAAAAGTTGAATTATCCAGGTCAGCTTGGATGCACAGGTCTTCCAGCCTTACATCCTTCAGTCTGAGATTGGAGGGTCTCTGTCCAGTGTCTAATTCTGTCACTGGCAGGACTGGTAGGGATCTGCTGAGACCTGGGTTTGGCCCTTTAGGTGCTGAGGCCAAATGATTTTGCACTTTTCCTGCATTTCTGCTTTTGATGGTAAATAACAGCACTTCATCCCATTCCGTGAGATGTGTTTAAATTGCTGAGATGATCACAGATCATATTTGTACCTTCCCATCTCTACTGCTGATATTCAAGTAATTTGTATTGCTGTATACAAACTATATTTCCTTCTCTGCTCCTGTGCCACTCTCCCACACTCATCTTGATTTCTTGCAGTGTGTGCTGGCACCGAGAACAAGCTGAGCTCCCTGTCTGACCTGGAGCAGCAGTATCGAGCCCTGCGCAAGTACTATGAGAACTGCGAGGTAGTTATGGGCAACCTGGAGATCACCAGCATTGAGCACAACAGAGACCTCTCCTTCCTGAGGGTAAGCAAACTTCTGTTTTCCTTCTCTCTGCCTTCTGTGTTTAGGGGAGCAACTATGGGTGCTGGGCTGGAGAAGGGCAGGTGTTCTTCCCATCAGGTCCCGTGTGATATATGTATGGCCACTCTTCGCGAACGAAGATTTGGGAAAGGTCTTTACCCTTCGAGCCTGCGCAGTGGATTTTTTAGGTGAGACACAGTGTGTGCTGAACTGAGCCCACCCTTAAATCCTAAGGTTCATCTGCCGGGGCCGAGCGAGCTTGGACAGTGGCAGTGAGGTCCTCAGGACGTAGGTTTGTTTAGAGTGACCTTCTCTTAGATGGATGGCCTTACAGGCTGATGAGCTCCATCTGCCCGGGGGAGTTCCCTGACCGGGAATCGAACCCAGGGCGCAGTGGTAGAGTGCTGCATCCTAACCACTAGACCACCAGGGGTCCCCTAGTGTGATATAACAGGATGATAAAAATGTCAGAGAGATGCAGAGAATAAGAACAGTGTCAGTGTTGTGACAAGTGCTCTGAGTTATTTAGATTTAACCAGGTTTTTTGGGGAGAATGCCATGACCCTGCACAGAAAGGTGTCATCTTTAGGTCTCTCTCACTGTGGATTGCCTGCAGGTACAGAGCAGGTAAGGTGGAGCTTGGGAAGGTGCAGGTAACTACTGGAGGCTTGGAGAAGCTAATCCTAAGAAAATGCCAGATATGGACTGATTGTCAGACAAGCTAACAATGTTTGTGGAGCATTGTAATTGTATGAGACTGGAGTTATAAACCTAATTAAGTCTTCAGCATCCAGGGGAAATTTCTAATAGATAAAGGCTGTCCTGCCACTATGGAACCTGGATTGCACACTCCCTCAGTCCTCTTTACAACATATTTTGAGTAAATGTCATGCTTTTCAGTTTATGAAGGAACATTTTGGTGTGGTTTGTACATTCCCTGTTACCGTGCTAGCAACCACAAGGAGGGAAAGGTGAATGCCAAATTAAAAGAATTTAAACCCATTGTTATTTGGCATTTCAAAGCTAATTATGTTTGAAGAAATATCCCAGTAAAGAAGTGATCCAGTTAGGCATCTGAGGTCGCTGCACACATGGAAGAACTGGTGTGCAGGTCTGAGGGCCACGGTAGCCAGGCAGCCCACAAGAGTGTTATTGCCGTCTGTGCTGATTGCACTCTCCAACAGAAGAAGTTCAGCTGTGACACAGATAAGGGTTTACACTGCTCATATCACATGGTATCACTCGCCTGTACTTCTGCAGAATGCTGATGTCGCATTGCAAGATGCATGTCTGTATGTAAATGGCATTTTCATAAAAAGCACGTAGCGGGAGCGGTGGAGTTTAAATCTGGCAGCAGGAGAAGGCAACGGAAGTCAGCCTGAGCAGGTTGGGTTACACTCAGTCATTCAGTTTACTGGGTCTCGGGTGAACCAGTGCTCAATTCCAGTTCGTAAAAATGTGAATTTTCCACTATGGGTTCTAACAAGGGCAAAACCAACTCCCCAGCAGCTTTGCTTCACATGGAATTTGTTAAGGATTTCACAGCACTCTCATTCTATACATCAGCCTATTTTTACTCTTAAGTGTACACCAGGCTGCTAAAAGATCTTCAAGCAAAATTCAACTACCAGATACGTCTGGAATAAAGTTTGGGGTGCTAATTGCACTCAGACTAACAGGTTGCTTGTTAATTTGAGCGATGAATGCCTCGGAAGTAAATGCTATCTATACATTTCACAGTTGTGACAGGTGGAGAAAACACATATGCTTGTGCTCTGAAATAGATACAGACTTGGTGCAGCTGGACCAGCGTTTCCCACCGCATTAGACAGGTGGCAGATAGATGCCTCCTGCAAGGGCAGGATCCCTGCACTGATTCAGGCACTGCTGCAGTTTCAGATGCCTCCCGAAACCCCTGACTGGACCATCGTGCATGGCTCAAATTCATCACAGACAGTTCTTCCGCTGTGGCTTCCCTTCTTTGTTATGCTGCCTGCTGGTAGGTAGGGAAAGCAAATTATTTGGAAATTAGGGAATTAACGTTCCTTGTGGAGAGCTGCTATAAGCAGAGTAAAATATTGGTGGTAAGACGGCAGTAAAATCAGCAAATGGGAACAAGAAGGAAGGGCCATGTGTAGTAAATGAAGGTGGTTCGGGCACTTGTGCTTTTTGGTGACAGCTACTATCACTGTTTTATTAGTTTTATTGCTTCTCTTACCTGCATCTGCCCTCTCACAGATGTCTCAGCAAAAAAAAGCAGAACTTTAAACAAAACTCAGCAAACTGGAAGTCTAGTTAATATGATAAATTGTAGTCATTAAAGTAGAAAACCAAACAGAGGAGAACATGTTCTTGGGGAGGCAAATAAATAAATAAATGTTGGCGCATTTACACCAATAATTCAATATTCATTAGTTAAGCAGTATTACTTGTTTTATCATATTAAAAATTGTTTTAATGGCCAAATGAAGGTGGCAGATGGGAGATAACTAGGAAGAAAGGCTGATTGTCTCTCTCAGACTTAAATATGGTCAACTTGTTGTGCAAGATGATGCTCTTTCAGCCTGTTCCAGGTTTTTACTCTCTGTTGCAGTAATTGCCCTCTTTCTCCACAAAAAGAACTTCAGGTGTTGGAGCATCCCTGGGTTTTCTGTGTGCCCAGCTGATGAGTACCATGGCTCTGTGTGCTCACCTGCCTTCTCCTTAGTGCTCAGCTTAGCTGGGCAGCCTCTCACTCCAGGACAGAGGGAAAACCCAGCAAGGGCACGCTGAGCCTTTTTTATCATGCAGTAATAAACAAATAGCATAAATGAATTGTAGTGAAAAAAACCCATAATTTTATTTGCCCTTCAGAGGAACATTAAAGATCAGCATCTCATATTTATTTAGACATTTATTCCCTAAGTTGATTTGCTTTATGTATATGAGTTAGCTCTCTGGATATCTGCTGATTAAGACTAAAAGGGGCTGTCTGTCACCTGATTGAAGTGCTCAGCCCCTTAAACTTCCAGGCCTGCCAGCTAGTGCATGGCTTTGAGACCATGAAGAGCTTCATTTCTGTAAGAAAGGATTGCATGTACCAGTGGTTTTTTTTCCTAACATTCTTGTATGTATGCAGAACAGGATTACAAATCTTCTGTGTTTATTTAATGTATTTTATTTGGCTCTCTGGTTGTGTTACAGTCTTGGTTTTACTTGGCTGTGGGTGGCCAAAGCAGGGGTGAGCAATTGCAATATGAACTTGTGGTCTGTATGTGCTGCCCTCCAGCTCCATCAGCTCTGTCACTGCTACTTGGTGCTTCCCTGCAGTGTGGCCACAATGTGGGAGTCATGGCAGAGGAAAGGAGCGCTCAGTAGGAAGTGCAGAGGAAAAGTTTTGTCTAAGCATAAGTGTTGAGTAAGGCAAGATGTTTCTGACCCTGGGCTGATAGCCATCTTTCTTTGTCATTTATTTGAGCCTTAAGGTAACCACAGAGAATGTACAAAGGGATTATTCAAGTCCTACTTCTGCCAGCTTTGGCAATGAAATGAGGCTTAGGTTAATGCAGCACATGGCTGTTGGAATCCCACCTCCCTATCCTGGCCAAGGTGGGTTCACCACTGGCGTAGGTGCTGCAGTATGGAAAGGCACTTTTTGTTTCTAAGAGCATGATTGAACTGGGCAGGACAAATAATTGGGTGGAAGTCAGGGCCTTAGAGCTCTCTTGTCCCTGTCATGTGTTCAGGCTTACCCAGCAAGACAGCAGTGACAGTGGGAAGGGGTCAGGCTCCATCTCCCACTGCTTCCCAACCCCCCAGCATCCTTTAACCAGTCGCACGGGCCAGGCTTCTACACTAGGATTTGCTCTGTAAAGATTTGCTCTAGATAAGCTGGTTGAGCTGGCGCGTGTCTTGAGTGAGCTGAGATTTCCTTCCCTGCTTTAGACTTGAGAAAAAAAATCTTGAGATAAGCTCAGATAGTGCACTCAGATCGTTCATATTGCAAGCGACTGGTTTCAGAAGTAGGAACCTATTATAGTTTCACTTTGTAAAGCTGACAGTTCATATTGAGGGCAGTTCATATTTCTTAAAAACATCTCCATATTCAATTTTAGAAATAAAATACACAATTAGTGTATCACAAAACAATCTTCTGCAAGCACTCCTGTTCTCTTAAACGTATTTGCTAAATGAGAGTTATCTTTGACTAATCCCCTGTCTTTTAGTAATTCACAGTCAGTAAATTGTCTTCTTGTGCCTGAATTTTAATTAACCAATTCAGATTGTTTATTTTTGAAGACATGACCAAAGTTCTGTGCTGTTCCCTGCCATAACTCTCCCAAATGATTATGAAACTTATTTCTAACTGCAATCAACAGCCTTCAAAAATGATTTGCACTGCTTTCTTTATAAATCCATTTTTCATTTATCTCAGTGGTCCACAGCTACAGTGGCAGCTGCCTGCCTGCCATTTAACAGGGTGGGCATTTCATGGTGGGCAACTTTACAGCTGCTGCAGTTTCTGCAGAGATGTAGAGCCCCATCTTCCCTCTGTCAGCACATGTTACCCTGTGCTCGGTGACAACCTGGGCCGGCCCAAACTTAGCATTTGTAGTCACATTTAGACTCTGTGTAGCAGATGGGATTTGGTGATTTGGGATTTATATTTTTTTGTTTCTGGTTGTGTGGTATTCTTGGAGGAATTTTAGGTGAGACAGACCCCTTCGAGGGTGGAGGACTGCCAGAGCTCCCACAGGAAGAGCTGGTTGCAAAGTATGCTGCCTGGCCCTGTGGCATTCAGAACTGCTTCTGATTAAAAAAACCATAACTAATTTTTTTTTAAGGCTTTTTGGTCTTTTATAGCAAAACAGGGCTAAGCAGACCCTTTCGAAAGCTCTGGCAGCGGAGCTGAGTGGAGATGTTGGCACAGAGGGAGTCTGCAGTCTGTACAGACAAATCGGGAAGGGGAACACAGAAGGGTATTGCCTTGTCCAGTTCACTTGGCAGATCACTGTGATGATGTG